CATGATTTTGTTTTTAATATATTTGAAAGTAGAGTAAAGTTTTTACTAAATAAGTTTTTTTGTCAAAATTGAAGAAAATAATAGTGATCTTCTATAAGTGATGCAACGATTATAATCATACACATATCACCATTAAATGTTAAATAAATATTTGTAATTTGAAAAAAAAAGTTAATTATTGCATTAATTTTTTATTTATTTTTTGCATAATAATAGTGTTCTTCTATAAGCGATGCCTTTTTTTTTTTGTTGAGGACGAGTAGGAACTAGTTCCTTTTTATCATCTTTGTGATTATATTTCTTGTGTAGGAACAAATAGGAACGAGTAGGGATAGTGCACTCTTTTAAATGTGGGTGAGAAGATTATTTTTTGTTATTTTGTCTATATTAATCATATTATTCATTTTTTTTAAATCTCTTTTTTTTCACTATGTGTAAACACATTAATTATTTTGATTACTGTTTTGTGCAATTATTTTAGATTAATTTGTCGTAAAATTAATTCAGAAAAGTTTTTAATGTGAGTCAAGTGATATGTCGATGAATATCAAACAATAACAAATACAAATTTAAGAAGTATTTCATTTTTAACATATTTGAAACCAAAATAAAGTTTCTACTAAATAAGATTTTTGTCAAAATTGAAGAAAATAATAATGTTCTTTGAAGCGATGCGACGATTATAATTACATACATATTATCATTTAATATTTAAAAAATATTGTATTGTTTAAAAAAGTTTTTTTCTGCATATTGAAATATTGTTGAAATTGATATTTCAAAATTCACGGCTAATATTTAAAATTTGTTTGCTTTCTTTACTCTTTAATTTTATATATTTGTAAAGTAAAATACACAATTTTATTTTAACTTCTTGATGATTGAAATGAGTAGAAGCAAACACATATGTTATTACTCTATGATCACCTTTTGTGGATATAACTTAGATTAAGAGCTTGCTTGGTATTGATGTTGGCAGCTCATAAGTCATAAACACTTATTTTGAGAGAAAAATATTTTTCTTTAAAATTAGTTGTTTGGCAAGCCTGTAAAACTTTTTAAAAATGGAAGCAGAAATAATTTTTCTACTGTTGGAAATAAATTAAAAAATTTTGCTTTTAAAAAAAATAGAAGCATTATTTTTTATTTATATATAATAAATTCTATATTTTATTTTTGACGTTTATTATTATTTTTATTTAATATTTTACAGAATCAGAAAAAAAGGTAACAACAATATTTTGCAAGATTAGAAAAAAGAAAGAATAACAATTCAAGATTTCAACCCTCCAAAAAAATGTATAATATTGATTGAAAATTTGAATATAATAAAAATAAAAAATTAATTTTGTAATAGATGTTTAATCTAGTTTCTCTCTATAAAGTAATCTTACAATTAAAAGTACATTAATATTTGCCCTTTGTTGCAATTTGACTCTCAAAATTTTATTTTATTTTAAAATTAGTCAAACACAATTTGATTATAAAAAGCATTTTTCAAATGAATTAGCCAAACATAAATTATTATTTTTTCAAAAGCACTTCTCTGAAAAACTATTTTAAAAAAGTGCTTCTAAAAATAAATTATTTTTAACGGCAATGCAAAACAGACTCTTAATCCAATTAAATTATTCTCCTAATAAATAAAAATTGCTCAAAAGAATTGGTCAACATAAGATCAAAGTCATACATTACATATCTTTTAAGACGATAACATCTAATTTGGTATCGAATCCGTCCTTATTTAATTTCATACCAAAATTGTTGTTGATGACAGTAAATAATCAAACTATTCAAAGTTTTACCAAGCCTTAATTTTCCTACAAATAGGAGTTAATCTTAGGCAAAGAAACATACAACAACAACAGAGTCATTTGATCCTCACAACCACATTTTCCCTCCTCTTTCTCATTTTTAGCCATGACTAGAAATATTGGTTTGATTGAAAATATCACAAAGAGAAAAATCTCGTTCAAGAAAAGACATAAGACCTTCTTGAAAAAGGCTTTTGAACTCAGCACCATTTGTGATGTTGAATTGGCTATCATAGTCAATAGTCCTGACCTAAGATATTTCCAAATAATGATATGATGTTATAAGTAGCTTTGAAAAATTTAGAGATTTCCCGGCGAAATCCACGATGACACCAGAAGAGTTAACCAAGCAAAGGATCGAGAAAATAGAAGAATAACTCCAAAAGGTAAGAAAAAAAAAACAGGGTGGAGGAGTTCACAAACAAGATGTATGAAGTGTTGAATAAAAATGATATTCCCACTGACATACACCCTTATGATCTCAACGAATTGAGTAATGTGATCAACCAGTTACTCAAGTACCCCAATCAATGTTTCATCCTTTGATGACTTTTTCTCAAACGGTACCTTTTGTAGACCATTCATGGGGTTGTCCTTCTCCTTTTTCATTTTCTTCACAAATATTGTATCCTTCAATACCTCAACAAATGGATTTTACAAGACCTCCTGAATTTGCACCTCCAATGATGTCTCCTCCAATGTTCCCTTTAATGACATTACAAGTGGAACCTTTAATAAATAATATCCACCAAATGGATGCACTAATGCCAATGAATTACGATCAACACTATTTTATTGGCGATTAACAAATGTTGGACTGGAGTGTCGATGATATAATAATAGCCTTATGTGATGATTTGCCTTTCAACAACAATAATGTTCCACATCCAAACAACACAAACACTATGTAAGATCAATGTGTCTCTTTTATTTATTAATTAATAAGTGGAGTACTAGTTTGCATATCTGTGTCATCTTTTTGCATCTCTTTCATTGTGGTCTCATTTGAAGTATTTGTCCGTCATATTTCCTTTTTTTCTATGCCTGTTATTTTATTTACTTGTTAAATTTATGAATTTAATGTTTATTGGTACTCAATATATGTTTTTATTATTATTATAAATCGAAAATGTAAGCTAATAACAGATCTAAAAATCGAAAATGATTTTTTTTTTTAAAAAAGAAGTAAAGAACACTCATCTAAAATAATATGCATAAAGATTGTAATGACTAATGAACAGCAAAAGTTAAAGAATTCTTTCTTATTTTAGAAGCAAAAGTTTCCGAGACACAATTTTAGTATGAACAATACTTTCGAGTTTCGAGAGGCAAAACGAAAATATTTGGAATATTGTGTCTTACGGATCAACTAAAATCAAGTTAAAGATGTCTAAATAATTGGGTGTTTTTTGGTTGCTAGTAAAGGCCACATTAAGATGTCTATTTATAGATTGTGTCATTTTAGAGACTCAAGTATAGCTTTGTAACATAACCTTCCTTCTGGTTTATGATATTATACTTATCTTGATTTATTTATAACTTCTTTTAACTTATTTATCATTAATTAATATATAAAAAAATCAACATGACTAATTTACCCTTTTATAATATTATATTATATTACTTTATTTATTGAAGATCTTTCTAAGGAAATTCAATTAATCTTTTTTTTTTTTTAAAAAAAGACACTGAACAAATCTCTTCTAATGTGGGTGTGTAGTAAATTCATTTTCCTGAGCATTAATAAATCCATGGACTACTCATTAATTTGCAACCAGGAAAGTCAATATGAAAACTGCGGAGAGTAAATTGTATTTCTTTTTAAAAAAATGGCAGGTAAGCAACAACTTTGAAAATGCACTTCTAATCACTTCAATTTGACTTAAATTGACCCGATAATAAAAATCTTTAATAAGATAATATTTTTAAAAATAATATAGGTAAAATGCTGAAGTTAAATAATAATTTTTTTATATATATAATTAAAAAGTTATCATATAAACAAATAATTAAAAATGTTAAGAATGAAATAGACAATATTGCATAGCAAAAAGAAAAAAGAATATCTATTATTCAAAATTGAGAAGCAAGTTTGATTTTTAAAATAAAATTAAGGGTCTAATTAGTGTTTGGCAATAAATATTTTCCAAACATTCCTTGGAAAATATTTTCTATGAATAAACAAGTTCTTTAAAAATAAGGAAAATGACTATGTGACAAATTTCCTCCGCACTCACCCAATCCCCAACCCCTACACATAGGCCATCCCCCCTCCCCCTTCCGAACTCCCACTCTCCATCTCATCACATTTTTGTAGTGTTTTCTATATAACATATAAATAATTTTGAAATAATATGTTCTTACTTACTTATCAATACTAAAAATAAAAAATAAAAAGTCATCCACTTATTTTTTAAAAAAATATTTCCTAAAAATTTATTTTGTGTGAAAATATTTTCTTTCCTACCAAACACACCCTAAATGATTTTCAACAAAAAATAAAATAAAAATGAAGATTAATACAAGAATATTTTTATATATTTATTTAAAAGATTGAGATATAAAAAGAAATGAAGCGGTAAGATTCATGATCGGACATATCTTGGTAAAATACTCGTTGAATTTGTCAGGGTTACAAGAAAAGAGGAAAACAAAAAGCTGCCCAAAAATTAAGAAATTGTGTGCCTGCAATTTCACGAGGTGAATTTTGTATCTCTAAGATTCTTCTTTTCTTTTTCTTGTTGGTGAAGACAAATTAATTCATCTCTTGCTTGACAAAGGGTAAAGTACCGTTTCAATTTTTTTTATATTATACCTAACAAGAAACGTCTGATTTTCATACCTGTGTTTCTTTTGTTTTATGGGGATGAGATGTTGTTTTCTAATATGATCTTGATTAATTTTTCGATTGAGTTAGGTCCAAGTTTTGTTATCACAAAATATTATAGTTAAATCCATCTCTATTGTTATATTTTTCAATATTGGGCCTTTATATTATTTTATTCACTTTATCTACACCTCCTGATGTCCAATCTTGTCGTGTTAGGTCATTAATTGTTGGAAAGACTAGGTGTAAATGTGTTTTTGTCTCCTTATATTGTCTTAGTCCATTTTCATGATTTAGTTTTTTAGTTTTTTTTGTTAATGAAGTTTTTTATGATTTTGTTTTTGGGGTGAGTTAAGTGTAATGTTGATTATCTTAATATGGTATTAAAGTCACCGTCTCCATAATTGTGTTTTCCGATATTAGGATTTTGTTCATGTTCTGGATGCTCAATCTTGTCGTGCTAGGTCGTGAATTGATGTCCCATATTGGTTGAGGGAAAATGTGTTTATTGTCTCCTTTATGGTTTTAGTCAATTTTCATGATTTAGTTGTTGAGGTTGAATCAGACCTATGGTCCATACGGTATCAGAGTCACCATCTCTATTGTTGTGTTTTTCGATGTTGGGTTTTCATGTTATATTATCGACGCTTTAGATACCTAGTCTTAGCGTGCTAGGTGTTAATTGGTGTCTCCAGATTTGTTGAGGAAATGTGTTTTTGTTTCCTTATAGTTTTCGACTATCCTTTCCTCCTGAGCTACCTTTGTGGCTGAAGTAAACTCAAGGTCTATTTTCACCCAAGCTAGATACGTCTTCAAAAATTCCAGTTCCGAGTGTGTGGGGATTGCTATATATAGTCTTTTCCAATGCCCCATGTAATGTTTAAGTTGCAGTCTTGCTTTTACTGTGTTCTTGATGACTTCGAGTTATTATAATTAACTTACATCCTTGTGGCTTTATTTATGGCCAGATCAAGAGGATTAGACCTTCTCATGTCACACAGAAACCTTAGGTAATGAAGGACAGGTCATTGGAACTCAAAGGGTGGCATAAGCAAGTGAGCAGATTTCTAATTTCTTTATCTTTTTTTCTAGTGTTCGGAACTTCCAAATAACTTCAAAGGGCGGAGTGTTATTTATGGGTTCACATGAATTCAGTAATTTTTATCCATGATATATGTATTAAGTATTGGCAAAATACTATGGTATTTCTAAAGTTCTTGGACAAATAACAACTATGCAAAGATGACAAGTTTCAACTATTAATTGGCTTGTTTTGGAGATCACCGACCCATGTCAACCTCTCAACATTTCGCCACCTTTTCAAATACCTATAAATAACTGAGTTCACTGTAAAATATTTATAGAGATTTACTAGATTATAATAGTGAATGTTATTTATTTATGAGAAAAAATAAGTATAATGAAGTGATGGTTAGGCTCATTCTTCTTATGTTCAAGCGATAAAGACAATATGTTGTTATTGTATATATTAACTTAATGCGATCTTTATAGCCTATACACTTCAAATCTTGAATCAGCTTCTGATAAGTTCTTTTGCAGGTTGTTTGCAAGAAGTCCAAGAAACGTGGAAGGTACTTGTTATTATTATATTTCTTGTCTTGTACTTCTCCTCCTCAATCTGAAACATGATATTAAATTTACTAAAATCTGCTTGTATAATGTTGTTGTAGCTGTAAAAAGAAAATGGCAATGATGCACAATCTTTATGGTCAAATTGATTTGGCTACATCTGCCAAATATCGAGCAGAGGAGGTCCTATCAAGATTGAGCACAAAATATCCAAGCTTTATGAAGCCTATGATCAGATCAAATGTTAGTGGAGGTTTCTGGCTAGTAAGAACCAATCTATCACCCAAATTAAGCAATTTCATATAGTTGACTAAAGTTCAATCCACGTACACCGACAGTGTTAAGAAATTTTACACTACCAGTGTAGTTTATCAGTTCATATTTGTTGTATATAAAAGTTATCCTTTTAGTGTTTTGTTAAACTCATTTGAATATGTTAGTGATTGATTTGCTTCATCTCTTCTTGGGCAGTCTCTTCCAAGGTTATTCTGCCAGCTGCATATGCCACGGCATGATATAACCGTTACTTTGGTAGATGAAAGTCAGGAAGAGTACAAAACAAAATATCTTGCTGAGAGGAATGGACTCAGTGGTGGATGGCGGGGTTTCTCGCTTTCACATGACTTAGTGGAGGGAGATGTTTTAGTTTTTCAGTTATTCAGATTCTGCAAATTGAAGGTCAGAATTCGAAAATCGTCCTTCTAGTAATCTGGTACATGTTGCTCTGCATTAGTTGGATGGTTTGTGAATGAAAAAGGAGTTCAGTGAATTGTGAGTTACTGAATTGGAGCTAAAACATGAATGTTACTGTAAATTGTTCTCCGATATGATTTCGAGACCAACTTTTCCACACGAACTCTGTGAACCAATTTTACAATACGAGGTCGTGTGAAAGATAACTACAGATGACTTCCAATTACGAGTAGAATTAGTAAACTGAAAAATAAAGCAAACCTAGGAGTTCCAAAATATTGCAATTTTTAGGATGTCAGTGTATATGAGTCAAATACTTCTATGTATTTTGTGTTGCTCGTTCATTGCTGTTGACATTGTACAGGTGTATATGGTCAGAGCCAATTATTTGGCTGAAGTTGATGCCGCACTTGTTCTTCTCCATTTAGATGCTCACCATAAACAAATTGATCCTGGTTAGTTTTGTAACCCAGAGAAGATATTTATAGTCCCCTGTATGAATCTGTCCTCTTTTTGCCATTGTTCTTACGTTGATGTGTCGAAGAGCAGTGCACCAAAGGCAGCATAATATAAGTATGAAACAAGTTGGGATCAAGCGTCAAAGACTTTCCTCACAAGAAGGGGATGATTATTCTACAGAAAACATGTTACACAAACATAGTCATTCGAGGAATATGTTCAAGAATCTTGATTTACCTTCAAAAGGTTCAAACTTACTCCCTCTGTTTTCTTTTACTCGTTTCTATTCCAAAAATAGATTTTCACTTTTAGTTGTTACTTATAGCCTATCAAGAAAAACAGTTATTCTTTTCCTATTTAACCCTCAGGCCTCAACATTAAATACTTATTCCCCAAATTATTTTCCAAGACCTAAGACTATACATCAAGCAATATGGACATTGTGATAAAATATTCATATTAATACTTGTTTCTTAAAGACCGTGCAAAGTTCAAAGTAGACAAGCAAAAGGGAACGAGAGAGTACTACATTTTGCTTCAAATGACGTGAAAAAGGACAACTTTCCTCTTGCACTTAACTTCAGGAACTACTAACTAGGCCTGTTTCAATAATTTAGAGGCAGATTGGGCCAAAACCTTTTGCACGCCAATTTTTTGCACCAATGTAACAGATGTAAGACATACGTTTTGCATATAAACATTATCAACCCGTCATTGGTTATATGGCATATTCTCTTCAATTTGTGACTTCTAATGTTAAATAGGTTGCATTTAGTATAACATTGAGTGGGATTCATGTAAACCTTGTTGATTTGCTGCAGGACTGGACTATGAAACTCTTAATATTGTAGATGCTGTAAAAGCCAGCAAACTCAGTGACCCTCCAAATGGTACTTTCTCATCCTGGAACACAAGGCCAACCCAACTTGAGCAGTTAGAGATCAGACCATTTTCGAGTGGGTACTCCATTGAACCAGCTTTAACCCTATCAGGGGCAGAAATGGTATTTAGGCTGTGAACGCGGTTGCTCCTCTTATCCTTGACTTTAACTATAGTGTTGAAGTTGTATACAATGGATTGTAAAATCTTTTTTTACACCAGTGTGATTTTAGTTATAGCATGTCATTGCTTTATTATCCGAATTACAATATTAGGCTTGATAGGAAGAGTTACGTGTTAATGTAAATCAACTTAACCTGATAGCGTAAAATTTTGTTGGTGCATACAACATAAACTTCCCCAGGAGGAGTTTTCACTTTGAAAGTGTATAGTCTTAAGCAAAGTGGCTTGTTCTATTTGGAAAGGTTAATCGTTTATCTCCTTTGTTTTTATATTGAGGGGTAGCTGCCTAGCTGGTGCTAAATTGAACACTAATAAATTTAAGAAAAGAAAAAACTTTTAAGAAATTGACAGAAGTAATCATCCATCAAAGTAATTGGCAATAACGGTATGTTTTTTTGTTGATTTATGCCTGACATACATTCTTTTATTCATAATAGTGTATTTTTTTTTATATTGGACTTGCAAAATCCACTAATGGTGGACAAAAAAAATTACACCATCAGCTCATTTTTAAAAATATTTATTTCTCTCAATTTAATTATTATATTTTCATATTTAAAGATTAATGATTTTTTTAGCTTCTCTTTTTTTTTTTTTTTTAAAACACCTTCTACAAATTTAAGGTTTTTTTTGAATAACATTCAAATATTTTTTATATTATCGACTTTGAGTATTACTTAAATAAATTGGTTTGAGTATTACTTAAATAAATTGGAATACATATGAAGGTATATTGATCAAAGTTTGTTTTCAATTAATTTTTGTATTGTCGATAAAATGAACTAAGAAGAAAAAAGATAGTCTCAAGCAATGGAAGCATCTATCGAAAAACTTCTTCATGTTAGAAAGAAGACTTAATAAGTCATGAGTAATTTTTTTATGAGATCAATTAGTCTAGATTTTTTTAAAAATAAAAAAGTAAAAAGTTACTATTGATGATTGCCTCAAATTGCTTCAATGGTGTTGATGGAGAATGAGGTAAAAATAAGGAAAAATTACTTAAATACACAACACTTCTTTACCTATTCTCAATATTTCCCTACTCTTTTACTAAAATACAAAAATCCCTTATTTTCCCCCAATTCAACTTAACCGGATACTTTATTAGTTTAAGTATCCGCCCGTTATTAATTAAAGTATCCGCGCTGCTATATTATGTATCCGAAAAACACTAAAAAAAGGGATTTTTGGTAATTAATGAAAGAGTAGGGAAAGGAAGTAATTTCTTTCTTATACTATGTCATTTGCCTAATTTTTACTAAAAATAATGAGGACAAGAAAGCACCAAAAAAAAATTCTTATCTTTGGCAACCAAAGAAGAATCATAAACAAACTCCTATCATTAATTTAGAGTTCAAGTTACCATATAATACTTTTTTATTATTATTTAAATATTAATAATAAGTAATATATTAAGAAAAATAAATATTTCTAAAAATCAGCTGATGGTGTAATTTTTTTTGTCTACTCGATGGATATAAGTTAATCCTTTTTTTTTAATCAATTGGCCAAATTTGAAACTTGGCTACAAACTTTTGTCACATACCAACAATAACTTTATGGGTGACTTGATAATTGGTTTGAAATGAGTTATGTAGGTATTAAATTCTCCACAAGTAATGTCATGTTGGGTAAATGGTTAGAAGATAGATTATTCATGTATAAAATTAATACGGTGTTTGGTTTACAATATAGAAATTTGCATAATTAATATATGCATAAGTTATGAGGGATTCTACGTATTATTTTATGTAGGTATTAGATATGGTTAAATTTTTTGTAACTAATACATGCATAAAATAATATATAATATTCACTTATGATTAATCTTTGTATTACTAATACATGTTTAATTCTAACTAGCTACCAAACGACCCTTAAATTCTAAAAATTATTAAGAATATTCAATCGTACCAAACAAACATACTTGTTAATCATGTATATGTAAAGAGATATCATTCATTATCAATTAATTCAATACACTAGTTTTAACCAAACACAAATCAATAAAAAGAGAGGGAAAACGTACATATGAATTAGTTGTGATCATTAAATAGATAGGAGACTTTTTTCTAAGTACAAAACTTTGGGGCGAGTTTTGAATAGTCTCAACTCTCAACGTCATATTTTGGGTCAAAATGAAATCTGAAGTCGTTCTTGGGATTTTAAAATCTTTTGGAAAATAGATAGATTTATAAGTAGACATATTTTTTTTAAAATAATGAAACTTGACTTATAACACACTCAGCAAACGCAAATTTGACAATTATGTATTCCTACACAATTATGTATTCTTCTCATCGTTATCTAATCAGTTAATCGTTTGGTAGAATATATTCGGAAAAATAATGTATCCATTAGCCTTGTGTATTGTTAGTACCTTGTTTGGTACTCTCTTCTAACCTATGTATTAGTTATACACTCTACAGTGTATTAAGGTGTGTATTACTAATACCATGGATATTTAAGCAGTGGCGTACGCAGAATCTTCAGTAAGCGGTGTCGATATTTATACAAAGCAAGTTAAAAATATAACTATCGCATTTATAATAAATTATATCGTTGACTCATTGGTTTAAATTATTTTTAAGCTAAACGAGGTCTTGGGTTCAAGACTACTTAACCACATTTTTTAAATATGAGTAAAATATTTTGCAAAAAAAAACTTTGATAGAGGATTGAACCCACAACCCCAAACACTTAAAACGGACAATTAACCAACACGCCATCAAAATATTACTGTCAAATAGTGTCTTTTTGTTTTAGATAAACCTTTATACATAGTATTAATATATAGTAAAAAATTCCGCCGAAAGGGTGTCAATTGACACCCCTTCGCCTAACGTGAGTCCGCCCCTGTTTCTAGGTATTAACAATGCAATGGTCATAATGCATTAGCTCAATTAAAGACTCAATTGTTCCTCAAATTTCTTTTTACATCTTTTCCATCATAATAGTGTAGGGTATCTTTGTAAATATTTTTTTTTATGCAATGCATGCTATTTTTAATGCATCAAACCAAACAATGCATAAAAATAATCTATGGATAATTAATGGAAGCATAGCTAATACATGCATTTCTAATACAAACATTAATAATACACTCTATTTCACATTATTCTTATACACTATTAAACGACTCATATTCTAAAATGACTAGCTATTTCTTTTTTGCTAGGCTTGTTCCGAAAAACTTGCTATTCATTTACCATTTCATTTTTATGATTTTTAGGCAAACATGAAATATAATTTATACTCTTAAGGGGTCATTTGTAGTTGACTATAGTTATACAAGTATTAATCATATAAAAATTAATTATGAGAAATTTTTGAAATATTAAAATAGTCTCAATGGTGGTATTTTGGGGAAGTTCTGAAATGCTTAAATAGTCTCAACTAGGGGTGAACCAAATTGAATCGAAAATTAAATCAAATCGCAAATCGAGTCACATCGGAAAAAATAATTCGACTAGTAATTTTATTTGACTTGGTTTGATATTGAAAAAAAAATGTGACTATATTTGAGTTGATTTTAACCAAAAAAAAGAAGTCAAACCGAGATTAAACCAATTCGACATTATATATATAATTTTTAAAATTTATTTGATAAATAAAAGTATTTACTTTTATATAATTTATAAATATTTCTAATATTTCTTCATATTTTTTTATCTTTTAACATGTTATTTCAAGTTTGAGACTTAAAATTTTGAATGGTCCAATAAAAGTTATAGTTCATAGATATTAGTATTAGTAATTATAATAAAACTCAAATAAGAAAATCAAATCAACACTAATGCTAACAAAAGAAAATCAATTCAACACTAAGAATGAATAGTGTGAGAAAAGACCCAAAATAGTCCTTCATCTTTGGATTAAGACTCAAAATCATCCTTGAGTTTCATATAGAGCATTAATAGTCCCTCATGTTTGCAATATTGGTGCACTTTTGGTCCTTCTCCAAAATTTTGCCTATTTTTTAACATTGATTTTGTCCATAATTTATGTATGGAGTGTTCAATCGTCATTTTATATATTTAGTAGAAATAATAACTCCACGTGAGAGAATGTGAGAAGAAAAATACTTTATTTTGTTTAGTAGAAATCGTATTGCAGGTAAAGTCGAGAGGTTCATCACGACGATTTCATGTGCCATAGTACAATTTTTTCTTTTCTTACAATGTCATATGTTAAAATATTTTTAGCTTAGCTGCAATAATATTTCTTCTGAACAGAACAAGGTGTTCTTCTTCTCACCTCCTCTCACATAGAATTATTATTTTCTACTAAATATATAAAAAAGACGATTGAGCATTCCTTACATAAAAATTGTGGACAAAATTTAATGTTAAAAAAATATGCAAAAAGTTTAGGGGAGGACCAAAAGTGCACCAATATTGCAAACATGAGGGACTATTAGTGCTCCATGTGAAAACTCAAGGATGATTTTTGAGTCTTAACCCAAAGATGAGGGACTATTTTGGGCATTTTCTCCAATAATGTTGACTATCTGTTCTTAGTTTACATTGATTTAGATAATTAAAAATGCATAACTTAATTTTTATGTTTCTTTAATATTTAGTCATGTAATTAATACTTATTAGACTTATTTTAGCATGATTTAATACTTTTAAATTATGATCATCTTCATTATGAATTATTAATTTGTAATATTTATTTTATGCGATTTCATTATTATTTTTTGTTGAATATTTTAGTGTCATAACTCACCTCATATTTTGTGTTACTCTATTTTCTTAAGAAGCATCTTATATAGTTATATTTTGATAGAACTAAAAACTATTTGAAGCACGAGTTAATTATATATTTGTATGAATATTTTATCAAAAAAATCCAAAAAAACTCAAGGTTGAAAAACTCATATTTTATTAATTTGGTTTATAGATTTGAAAACAACCACAGTCTAAACGTTCATATTTTGGGTCAAAATAAAGTCTTGAGGCTATTTTGGAATTTTAAGATTTGATTTTTAAATTTTTTCGAAAAATAAATAAATTCTATAAATAGACAAATATTTTAAAAAGAATATAATGAAACTCAACTGATATTACAGTTCAACAACAATGTAAAGTTGACCATTATATATTCCTATCTATACAAGATAAAATTTAAAATATCTAATATCATTGTAACATAAATTTCCTCATAAATAATGTATATATTACTAATACCTACATAACTATAGCACCAGTGGCGTAC